ACATCTACATGACACCACCAATCATCTCCCAAAAGGTGATTAGGCTGCTGAGTAAACTGTAGAAAAGTTCAAAGAAAAAGGGGCTTTTAGCATTAAAAACGTCATTTTTTGACCCCCATTTGACCCCCCGGGGCAAAATCAAAATTCCAAAACCTTACTGCACATCTACATGACACCACCAACCATCTCCCAAAAGATGATTAGGCTGCTGAGTAAAATGTAAGAGGAGTTCAGGGAAGACGGGGCTTTTTGCATAAAAAAGTCATTTTTCGACACCCATTTGACCCCCGGGGCAAAATCAAAATTCGGAAACCTTACTGCACATCTACATGACACCACCAACCATCTCCCAAAAGATGATTAGGCTGCTGAGTAAAATGTAAGAGGAGTTCAGGGAAGACGGGCTTTTTGCTTAAAAACAGTCATTTTTCGACCCCCATTTGACCCCCTGGGGCAAAATCAAATTTCCAAAACCTTACTGCACATCTACATGACACCACCAACCAAATCAAAATTCCAAAACCTTACTGCACATCTACATGACCCCACCAACCATCTCCCAAAATATGATTAAGCTACTGTGTAAAATGTAGGAGTTCAGGGAAGAAAAGTGTGACAGACGGACGTGAGTAACAACAATATACCCGAACTTTCTTTAGAAAGTGCGGGTATAATCACTAAAACTCAATGACCACACAACACAACTATAAGCAGTGATCGTCCTTTGAAAAAAGTTTCAGGAATATTGTCCCAGCCATCTCCGAGAAACAGCCTGCACAACAAAAACATGCGTACAATCGCAATATGTCGCCCGATTTCGTTCGGGGCGACATAATAATGATCCTTGATTAAGTCTCTTTCTGTAGCAAGACTGCATTAAGACTACAACTTAAGGGTAGCTTTTAATAAAAAATTTACAGAATTTTCAATTTTAGTTACCATGGCAACATCATTCAATAAGGACGTTTGATCCTGAACTTTTGAGCGGATTTTGGTCCTATCCTTTATTAATAAAATTCTGTTCTGTTTAAGTTCTAGCATTAAATCTGAATTCTACAGTGAAAATTGAACAATATTCAATGAAGAAACCGCGATTAAATTCCATTCAAGTAGAATTAACTTAGAAACTATATTTGCGGCGGAAGGTTTTTTTTAATAAGAAAATGAACAGTTTTCCCCTTTTGAACTATAAAAGTACTGTTAACTTTAGATTCCTATTTTTCCATGCTGGTTGCACACAAAGCTGTTTTTTTTTTTAGAAGTGAAATGTGTTATGCTGGTTCTGAAATATCTATCAAATTACTTCTAATTTTTTCAACGTTTGACAAATATAGTAAATATATTCTGAAAATCTGGGGAAAATTTAGCCAAATTTAACATAAAATTGACACTTTTTAGTAAATATGCATCATATACACCCACTTTTTATGTTATTTTCTAAATATTCGAGATAGCTTTGACCTATTTGCTTAAATTCAGAAAAAGTGCAAGACTTTAAAATAATTGTCTTCCTTATAAAATTTTCAATGCCAGAAAAAACCACATTAATTTTTTATTAGTGCAGAAAGATCAAATAATTGAACATGCGAAGCAATTTGAAACCTTTTTAAGTCACAATTTTAAAGTGTCTTTTTTAAAATAAACTTGAGTTCAATTTATTTCTTGCTTTAGTTAGATAAAAATATTGGAGGGAAAACGTCAAAGATGCAATTAAGGAGCAGTCCGTGGACAACGCATTCGAGAGTGCAGGATCGATAGCAGAACGAGTACTCTATTCAATGGCTGATGTAAAACTCCCAACTACAAAGCCGACCAAAGTTATCGAATTAAATAAGAATCGCCATCAAAAACAAAGGAAAAGATTCGACCCGATGAACCAAAAGACTGCAATTGTGAGCTTGCTGAAGGATATCTTCCTGTAGGATTTCTCCAGAAAGACATTCCTTGTGATGGACAACGGCACATCATATTTGCCACAGAACAACAACTAGATGCCGTAGACAATTTACAGATTTGGTACGTCGATGGTACATTTAAAGTTGTCAGGAGCCCTTTTGCCAGTTATTTTCGATTCATGGATTCCTTGTTGACCATCAAAAGCAAGTGCCATTAGCCTTTGTGCTGATAAGTCGACGGCAGACTACTGACTATGTAGCCGTATTCACAGCCATTGTGGCCATTTTTCCACGACGAGCTGCAGTGAAAACAATCATCGCAGATTTCGAGAAGGCTACATGGGCGGCTACAATGGAAACAATCCAAGGGGTTACCGTCGAGGGATGCCACTTCCACTGGTCACAGGCTATTTGGAGGAAAGTACAGGAAGTTGGTTTGCAAGTCCCACAGAACGAAGATCGGCACATTCACAAGACTGTGAGGTATATTTTGTCATTGCCTTTCCTGCCAGTACCAGAGGTAAAGGACGCCTATCGGAACATCCAGGACGAAGCTCGTGATGATGACCGCCTTCTTGCCAATCTGTCATACGTCAACAGGAATTGGGTGGAAAGCAACGTATATTCCATCCCTTCTTGGAATGTGTACAGAAAAAAGACGGGGACAAACAACGATTTCAAGGGGTGGCATAGGAGCTACCCCTTCAGCGGCGAATGGTAGAAAAGGGAAGTCTCCACAGACTGCAGCGCAGAGATGTCAGAGAGCGTCGGCGACTTTAAATAATTTACGAAGACCTGTGGGAGCAGTTCGAGGCAGGATTTCTGACTGTCTCCCAGCTGCTTGTCCAACTCTCCCGTGTTTGTGGCAAAAGTAGACTTTAGTTGACTTTGATGTGGACTGTGCATTACATGTGAACTGAGCGAGAACAAGTGTTCCCAACCTGATTACCATACATATATATAACAGTGCATCTTCGCTAGCAAAGGGTTTCTAATACGCTACTCTCCTCATGTACCCTTGGCATACGGTGAAGTCAAAAGACGGGATTGTTTTTGTCACGTGATCTCGAATCTATCAGGTACGCACAGATTGCGTCGTCGACAGAAATAAGAGACACGTGTTTAAAAAAATTAAATCAAAGTGTTTTTTTTTTCAAGAATAATTAAGAAGCAATAATTGGTTTATGCTTATTAATTATTTATAGTACAAATCTTAACTTCAATATAGATTTTTAATCACATATTTAGAAGATATTGGATGACACCATAGCTATTCATAAAATTGCATGTTATCTTACGGATAGTTGTTTACTTGCGTTTTTCATTCCGAGATTAAAAAGTCACGAAGTATCCCGAACACAAATATGGTCATTTACAAAATACAATTGCTGATTGGTCGACCGGGTGTACCAATCCCAATCAGAACTCTAGAAAAAACCAGAAGTTTCTGTAGCTGTAGGGTAAAAGCCGGTATCTTCGGACAGTGTGGTGCTTTTCGGAAATCAGATTACGCTGAGGTTTTTCCACCTTGACATGACCGTATGCGTGAATATGTGTTGTTTGGGAGAGTAACGATGCTTACGAAAAATCTGGAGTTCCGAATGATGTTATAAATAAACAAAAAAATATAAAATAAAAACCAAGACGTATCAGAGGCCGATAAATTCGGACAGGTAGTCGGTAAATTCGGACAGTGGTCAGAACTTAATATTAATGCCTTATATATTCAGAAACTATGTGTAAGTACACATATTATGATGTCTTTTCAACAGTTTTTAAAGCAATGGAATGTAAGAAATTAATATCTTTAATGTGACAATATACACTTGAAAATATTTCGAATATCAATAAATCAGTTTATTACTGTCTGTTACTTCCATATTTCATTTGAACAAAAAGTTTTAATTTCTTTTATCAACAACTTTAAAAAAGAAGTATATTTTCATTGTTTATTATATCAACAAAAGTATCGTTCAATAAATAAATTCTAAGACGCTTTTTTCTCTTTTTTTAGTTTGTTTTGTTCCCTCTTAAGTTTTCTGTTTTGTTTTTCCTCCTCAAGTTTTCTCTTTTTCTCTGCAATTGCCTGCTTTTCGTTGATGATCTCAGCACTCGTCAGCAAACGGTGACTGGTTATAGCACGACTTTTCTTTTTTGTTTCTCCAGAGGTGCGGGGCGTATTTTCGGATGGAGAAAATATAGCGTCTATATCCTCATTCCAAACTGTGTCAACAGGTAATGTCGCAACACCCTCGTTGTCGGCTGTGGCAACCACCTGTATTTCTCCGCTGTTGATGAGTTGTAATAAATGACTTGGGTCGTCCAATTCGTAACTCTGTGAAGGCACATTTGTTGGCTGGGGCGTAGTTTGAAACGGAAGCTGTTCAAGCGAAATGATGTTTGTTGCGGGCAGATCTAGAGCTATTTTATCAATATGAGGGGGAGTCGATGTTGCATCATGAGGGGGTGTTGACTCTGTTTGTGGTGGTGTAGGCATAGGGGGAGTTGGAACATTTTCATTGTCGATATTTGGAGAAACATTTTCAGTGTCGATATTTGGAGACGGTGGTCTACCTAGAGCTGCTGGTATTTCCTCAATATGCAAGCTTGTTTCATACGCTGAGCTAGGTAAGTAGGCTGAATTAGGGACTGCCTGGGGATTAAGTGGGTAAATCCCACAGGCCCTAAAACCACTCTGGATATTTTCCTTTGTCAATGCCATTTCCCATGCTTGGCAAAACATCTTTGGAAAAGTCCATTTATTAATCAAATTGCATGGATTTTCAGACAAGAACTCGGAGCAAACCCTATTGTAGGCTTTATTAAATGGCCCAAATACAGTTCTATCAAGGGGCTGTAAAAAATGAGTTGTGTGTGGAGGTAGGGCTAAAATGTGGATGTTTTCCTCCGCTGCTAGTTCTAACAAACCTAGTGTTTCATGTGAACCGTGGCCATCCAGAATGAGAAGTTGGGGTCTTTCGGGGCCACAGTGAGGCAAAAAAACATCCCGAAACCACTGTTCCCCCAACTCCTCATTCATCCAGGCCTTTTCGTTGTGTGTCCAAAATGAATCTTTTGGAGACTCGGCAGTTTTAAAACCAAATAATTATTTTTTATTCTTTCCTTAAACGATCAACATAGGGGGGCATAGAATCCCCCCGGGCATTTACGCAGGCCGTAATGGTGATGTTTGACCGGTCATTGCCAGTGCGGCCAACAACAGATTTGCTGCCGCGTCTGGCAATGACATGAACAGGGGTATGTTCCAGTTGTTTTCCTGTTTCGTCACAGTTCCAGATTTTTTCTGGTGAACCTTGCAAATTTAGATTTTGCACAATTTTAGACAGGTCTGCAAAATACTTCTCGACGACACAACTGTTTAACATCCTTGCCCGCACTGTGCCAAGCTTTTCTGGCTTTCTTAATGCAACTTCGGGGTGTCGCTTTTTTAGCCCTTCCCACCAGTGTTTTGTAGGGGTGAAATTTTTGAACCCAGTTATTTTATTTCTTTTACACAAAACTCCCGCTCTATGGAGAAGTTGCTTCCTTGAAATACCAAAGCCCTTTTCGGCACTTTCAGTAACATTTTTGATAATTCTTTTCTCGATTTCATTTGAAAGCACCGGCTTTCTCCCAGGCTTCGCGTCAATGGACACTCGTTTTGTAACTCTATCATACAATGTTGATTTTTGAACTTGAAACTTCTCTGCTGCTTTCCTGAGAGACAGAGTCCCAGACTGAACAGCATTTACAGCCTGTTCCATGATTGATGGATCATTTTTTTGGTAAGGCCCCCTTGCTTTCGCCTTTTTTCTGGCCATGCTGAAAGAAAAACTTTTTTATAGAATTAAAATAATTAATAGCCTTATTGGTTTTTGAAATAAATATTGACCGGCAATGTGTTAAAAATAGCATGCATATACGTGTAACTTAATAATTTTATATCGAAAAAGATGATTGTAAATCGATAATATTTTTTTAAAAAACTATTTATCAACTTATTTTTTTAGAATATGGGTATATAAAGTTCATTTTTCATTTTTTTACATTTCTTCAAACTGTCCGAAATTAAATGACTTTGAAAAAAAATGGTCCGTTAATTTCGATATTGTTTAAAAATCGGCATGATTTTACACTTAAAGGTGTATTTATTAGCGTTAAAATCACATTTGATAATTAAAACATTTAAAAATCCGTGTATCAATTCAAAAAAAAATTATAACTTACCTAAATCAAAACTTTGGAATGAAGTCCTTGAAAATTTCGCGGTCGACAACTCTTGTGACAATCCGGGAAAACAAGTTTTGTTTCTTGCAGGTTTTATATAATAACAACACATCCGGATAAAATTTATTAAGTCGTACATCTTTATTTCGAATTAATTGAAAGTAAGAAAGAGAAAGTAAGTGTGTATAATTTGTTGAAGGTAAGGACTGCTTTTACGAGCCCTGTCCGGAATTACCGGCCGTCCGAAAATACCGGTTTTTACCCTACTGGTTAAGAAAAGAAAAGTGGCAGTTGGGACTTGAAACTTCACAGCAGCAATTAACAGAATAATGATCATGTATCTCAGTGTACACTACTTGCATTCCACATTATTGTCATCTCCCTCGGGAGATGACACATTAAGATTGTATGCCGGAAGTGAAGTCCTAGTGTAAGCCTCCATTAATTCTTCGGGAATCCTCGATGTTTTACAATATCTCAAGTGAGAATCTACACAAGGAGTTCCAAGTAGCCTGTAAACTGGTTTTCTTTTAGAAGAACTAGCTTAGAAGTGTGATATCTACTTTCGGTTTAGGCCTATTTGAAAGCCAAGGAAAATTTAGAAAAGCAGTACGATGCTTATTGTGATCTCTCACGAGAGATGACACATTAAGTTTGATTTCCTGATGTGAAGTCCCAGTGTAAGCAGCTATTTTTCAGTCTGCAATCCTCGGCTGACTCCACTACGCTACATTCCAAAAGTTCGAGGCCACCCGAAAATCACCGACTGCTCAGTTTGACGCGATGATGCGATTTTCTAAATATAGAGATGTAAACAACGAGCTATCTGCCTTATTATTGATAAAGAAAACAAGCTGCAAAGAAATCATACAGAGACCAACACACACAATCGCCTGAATAATGGGGTTTTTCAAAATATACACTGTATGTTCTTATATGTAAAGTCTTCTTGGCTATTACCTAAATGATGACCAGAACTCGATAGAATCTTCTAACTAGGTCAGCGCGTGTGTAAAGATCCTCTGCAGCCGAGGCGTGGATCCAAGAATTCACAGAAAAACAACATCAAATAAAAACATTCACATAAGTAATCGCATTACTGACTAATAGGAATTGATGGTGAAAACTTCACTATTTTGGTACATTAGTCATTATATAACGCGGCACCGTCATTTTTTTAAAAAAAGGTAATACAAGTCTGATTATAGAATCAAATGCATTGAGAAATTAAAAGCACAACTTATACATGTTATAAGCGGATACATTAATGTCTATAAAAAAAACTACAGACATTGAATGAAAGATCACAAATTATTAATTATTATGAGTATTTTCTTGCATGTATTATCTATTCTTTTTAAGGATCGATTTATCATGATTAAAGAACTTGCAATCATTTTCTTTATGCAGTTTTAATTGCATAAATGTCAAAAACATCTTTAATTCACTCCTCCAATATTATTGAAATGAAGACCAAATTATAATACACAATAGGTTATATGTTTAGTATGCAGATAAAGTTTACTAAAACACAAAAAAATATACGCACTGCACGGCCACTAATGGCACAATATTGTATATTCCGAAGACAGCCGTAAGTTCAGGGTTGGCAAATGAGAACTTTTCTCTGATAATTTGTAAATGCTTGATTTTAGCTGATAGCATTTAAATGTTATTACTTACTTATGCTTAAAAGCATGTGAACGTTGGGTAGGGGCCCAAAGCCACACAAAAAATGATTTAATTAAATATTATGTATATTTTGGACAAAAAAACTGTGAGTCTGGGCACCCTCTAAATCCACCAGTGCTGTTAAAAGTCGATTTTGAATAGTTAACTTTTTGATGTAAGTTTAGTTCATCTCCCCCTTTAAAACCAAAGGGGTTTGACGACCATATCACTTTAAGGAATGGGAATTTAGTTAACATGAAATCTTTGGGAAGGTTTGGAGTTGATTAAGTTAGCGCTTCTGTCCACTGTCAGAGTACATAGAGTAAGGAGCTGCGAAATACATGCAATATGTAACGTCAAAAGGAAGGCTAAGATTTTACCCGAGTAATTCTTGTGATTTTTTTTATACAGGTGTACAGATTTTACAAATACTGCGTTACTGGGCAAAATTGCACAAAAAATCTTCCATTTGACAAATTTATAAAGGGATAATGGGCACTTTTGTCATAAAGAGTTATCTCTATCATGGATTTAGCTTACTTTGTGAAAGTGCTAGGATATATGTCAATGAAACTTGTCTGAAAGTTTGTAGTTTTGATAATTTACAGATAAAAGAGACTTTGAAACATTATTTTAGTATATTTCATGCAGTGTAAAATGCTATAGCAACATATAAATTGTGATATTATTTAAACAATTTTAGAAAATCAGATCTACAAATCTGTGTACCAGCTCTTTTAACTTTTTATTGCTGTAATTGTTCAATGCCAGCCCCTCCCTTATCCACACTTTTTGTTCGAGTATAGTCATGTACTAAACAAAATGAATTTGTTTTTCGAAAAAAAAAAATCAAAATATTCCCTTCTCATCCACAGCATAAGATTTTGATCACTGTCCTTTGTCCTAATCTAAAGCATAAGATTTTGATCACTGTCCTTTGTCCTAATCTAAAATTGTTCAGGTAAGCTGCCACTCCCCTTCCCCAGAAGAATAGAAAAATCTGTAATAGTTGAGAAAATATTACACTTTACTGTTTATTCTGTGACATTAATGAAGCCAAAGAGATGACATTTCAGGCTTTCTGGAAAGCCAAACTTGTACATGTCCGGCGTCCGTTCTGTCTGTCTGTAAACAATTTGGTCTGTTTTCAATATAACTTGGCACACAAGTACACTACACTAAGTGTATCGGTTTTTGATTTCGGGTGTTGCCGTGGTTACTAAAAATAGAAATTTTTTGTGAAATTCTTTCAAAATGCCACTCCTCCCACAGATTTGGTCTGATTTCAATATAATTTGGCACACAAGTAGACTACACCAAGATACATAATTCTGTGTATCGGTTATTGATTTCGTTGATCGGTGTTGCCGTTGTTACTAAAAATAGAAATTACCTTGACATTCTTTCAAAATGCTACGTCTCTTACAGTTTTAGACTGATTTCAATATAACTTGGCACACAAGTAGGCTACACAAAGGTACATAATTCTATTTAACGGTTTTTGATTTTGATGAACGGTGTTGCTGTTGTTACTAAAAATAGAAATTTCTATGACATTCTTAATCTGATTTCAATATAAGTTGGCACACAAATAGATTACACTAAGATACATAATTTTGTATATCGGTTTTTGATTTTGATAAACGGTGTTGCCTTTGTTACTAAAAATAAAAATTTCTATTAAATTGTTTCAAAATGCTACTCCTCCTACAGTTTCGGTCTGATTTCAATATAACTTGGCACACAAGTATACTGACACTAAGGTACATATTTCTCTGTATCGGTTTTTGATTTTGAAGAACGGCGTTTTTGTTCTTACTAAAAATAGAAATTTCTGTGAAATTCTTTCAAAATGCTACGTCTCCTACAGTTTTAGTCTGATTTCAATATAAGTTGGCAACAAGTAGACTACACTAAAATACATAATTCTGTATATCGGTTTTGTTGAACGGTGTTGCCTTTGTCACTAAAAATAGAAATTTCTGTGAAATTGTGTGTCAAAATGCTACTCCTCCTCATTCATCGAAATAGCATTTTGAAAAAATTGTTTTCAGACAGACAGACGGACACATTACTAATTATGTATCTAAAAAGTGCGATCTTATATTTAGTGTACTTGTGTGTCACGTATATATTGAGTCAATACGAGTTACGATCAACTTAGGGTCAAGATCTAGTAAATAACTTTAGACTGATTTTTTGGTGAGGAGTAGCATAAACAAAATGAATGAAAAAAAAAAATCAAAATATTTCCACAGCATAAATTTTCCTATTTTTAGTAACCAGAAGAATAGAAAAATCGGAAAATATTACACTTTACTGTTTAACATTAATGAAATCAGAAACCAAAACTGTACTGAGGAGTAGCATTTTGTTACTAAAAAAAAATTGTTTTCAGACAGATTTCAATATAAGCACACGGACACATTACTATATAGCATAAGCTTTTTCTCGTCTCTGACCAGCACACAAGAGCTAAAAACCTCATGCGATCTTATATTTACTGAATTCGACAATGGCACACTTTTGATACATAATTTTGCTTTTTTTCTGATAAACGGGGCCTGTAAAGTTTCAAAAGTTGTTCCTGATTTCAATATAACTTGGCACACAAGACGCTATATTTGGGTGTTTACGTGCTCGCAAGTCAATTTACGAGTTACGATCAACTTGAACGGTGTTGGTCTAAAAAAGAAATTTCTAGTAAATAACTCGTAAAAAGAAATCAGACCAATAACTTTAGATTTTTTGGTGCTAGATGATTTCTATTTTGTTATATCTGATTTCATATAATGACAAATATTTCATAATTTTGTATATCGGTTTTTGATTTTGAAAATTGTTCTAAAAATAAAAATTTCTATTAAATTGTAACCAGTTTCGGTCTGATTTCAATATAACTTGGCACACAAATACTCTAAGGTACATATTTCTCTGTATCAAAACGTTTTTGTTCTTACGTCATGAAAAAATAGTCATGTACTAAAAACCTCAACTTATAAAATGACAATACACTTTTTGTTTTTCTGTAAAGTAAAGTTGTTCCGAAGAAAAGACGCTATATTTGGGTGTTTACGTGCTCGCAAGTCAATTTACGAGTTACGATCAAAAAATCAGTAAATAATTCCCTATTATGACGTCATAATATCCACAGCATAAGATTTTGATCACTGTCCTTTGTCCTAATCTAAAATTGTTCAGGTAAGCTGCCACTCCCCTTCCCCAGAAGAATAGAAAAATCTGTAATAGTTGAGAAAATATTACACTTTACTGTTTATTCTGTGACATTAATGAAGCCAAAGAGATGACATTTCAGGCTTTCTGGAAAGCCAAACTTGTACATGTCCGGCGTCCGTTCTGTCTGTCTGTAAACAATTTGGTCTGTTTTCAATATAACTTGGCACACAAGTACACTACACTAAGTGTATCGGTTTTTGATTTCGGGTGTTGCCGTGGTTACTAAAAATAGAAATTTTTTGTGAAATTCTTTCAAAATGCCACTCCTCCCACAGATTTGGTCTGATTTCAATATAATTTGGCACACAAGTAGACTACACCAAGATACATAATTCTGTGTATCGGTTATTGA